TATATATATATATATAAATCAGATTAAACCGCAGCGCATAATATGGCCTTGAAGTGTTAAATAAATAGTGGTTTTGTACTTAAACAACTTTAAAATAATCTGATCTTGCTTTAAATTTCATTCTTGTTTACAGATTATTACTGCCTTAAAAGCAGCTGAACAAATCCACATAAATTCTAAACGTTTTAAACACTTTTAAACTTTTGTTTGTTGTTTAATGCCTTGAAAATTAAATAAAATTTTCTCAGTCTGGATAAATAGAAAATCTAAAGCAGAGCAGTAATTAACGTTTCCAGATGTTGCCACACTATCAATGTCCTTTAAAAAAGAAACAAATTCCTAAAAGTTGCTCAAAGGAGCATTTACGTCAGTTTTTAAAGTTAATTAAAAACAGTTTCTCACAATTTAAACAAGAAACCAAAAACAAATGATCTGTAAATTATTTAAAGGAAATGCACAACGAACACTCGCGTGTTAAATAAATTGAAATTAAAAGTTTAAATAGTCAGATTTTCACTGTAGAAGGGTTAGGCTTTTTAAAAATAGATCACAAACCTTTTGGATGTAACTTTTTCTAAAAAAATAAAAATAAATAAACTACAATTAAAATACAATAATCACTCATTATGTTTCATATATCTGATAGAAATAAATAAACAGAATTTGATTTAGCATCAAATATTAATATACAAATGATTTAACTTAAAATACAATTTATACAATTTTCATAAATGTGACACTTTCTTTCTGAATGTAAAAAATGTCATTTATAGACTCTAAAAGACTGACACAAATAAAAAAAGATGAAACAACCTGTTTATTAATTTAGTTATAAACGTTTCGTCCAGCAGGTGGCGCTCTTCGCGTGTTTTTCCTCAGTTGTCTGATTAACAGCAGCTCAAACATGAAGTTTTAATAGTTTATCTAAAAAAACAAACATTTTTATTGTTTATTATTTAACATTGAAGGTCCATTTTGATGTTAAAGCTCTTTTTTAAGATTTACGTTTGGAAATTCAGGCAGAAGGCAGTCATGATGAAAAATAAAACTAAAATAAACTGAAGCAAATGTTAATATTTGTTTAATATTTAATTTGTGGTTACGTTTCCCCTCATTTCTTTGTCCTTTTAATAAAGTTTACAACAAACTGTGTGGCTGTCTTTAAACTCTTACAGACGGACTGAAACAAAGATTGCTGCCCTGAAAACAAATTAACTTTTTTTTTGTTTACAATTTATTTGTGTTTCAGGGTCTTCTGTTCAGTCCAGCCTCAGAAAATTTGTGTTGTTTTATTTCTTTTAAAACAAAATGAAACAAGTGTCACCTCTATCTCAGGAACTTCTCAAAACAGATAAGTTGTGTCAAAAATTGAACTGGAGATTCTATAAACAGGTTTTTAATTGTATGTAGGGCTTTTGCTATTTCCTTTTCTGTACCCTATTTTATTTGTAAATGTTATGGTTTTATATGTGTACGGATGTTTATTTGAATGCAAATTTCCATTTATTTTATTATAAAGGACTGATTTATCTATAAAAGCTAAATTATCTAAATTTGCCCATTGCTCACAGTTAGTTGCATATGTAACATTTGTAGACACTTGTATTATGTAAACTGTGTTGTATTTTATGTACGTATATATTTTCTTTTTCTATAAAGACTAATGTTTTGCATGTTGTTCTTGCTGACACAACTTGTTTAAAAGGCCTGAAGTGATGCCTGTAGTTCCTCTTCCGCCCTGCAGGGGGTGCCGCTGAGCTCACCGCCTAATTCTTCTTCTACGGTTTTATTTTCGTTAATCACCGAGCCAAAATGTTAGCATCAAGCTAAAAGCTACCCAAAGTGAGGCAGACTGCTCCAAATTTTTTACTCTGACTGCAAAACTTGATTTTTATTTTATTTTAAGTTTTTAATTATCTAAAAACTGAACATTTAAAAATGTAATAATTAATATTCAGCACCAACAGAGTTTTTAAAAATTTCCTGGTGAGGAGGTCCTGTCCAGCAGAGCTCACATAAGGTAACTTTTATTTTATTTTTTATATAGATTTTATTTGTTTTATGTAACTTTTAACTCCGTCAAACTATAAATCAAAATGAACACCGTCTGAAAACAGGTGAAACACGTTTGTCGCTAAACCTAAAATTAGGGATTATATATTGTTCAAAATTAAAGTGAGCTTTGGACATGTAACCAAAGTAATTTATAAAATTACACAAATTAGGTTTTATGTTTTAATTTAAGA